TATTCAAAATTCAATGACTGTCACCATCTCAAAGAGGACAAACAAAAGTTCGTCCTCCATAAATACTAAAAAGAAAATGAAATCTAATCTTTATTAAAAAAAACCGAATGCTGAAATTTTCATATATAAATTTAATGAGGGTAAAAAGAAGGTACCAAAAAATATTTTCTTAATTCGAATACAAACAAAATTTCGTAGGGCATGATAAATTTAGGAACTTTTGAATATTAAATGAATGCTTTTAGTCGAGGCGTGTGAAATACTGGCCAGGGTGGTTACAAATCGAGTTTAATGCCGTCAATTTACGTTTCAAAGTATATTAAAGTCAGTCTTTGTGGTAACAAAAGAATAGACTAGAAAATATTTTAGACAAGCCGAAATAAACAAAGAACAAACTACATGTCTCAGTATTTTCTTCGGGTTCGGCGAGTTTTAGACATAATTAAACCTACTCTTACGATTTAATTTCGTGTTTATTATTTTCGGCATTTTGAAAATCTTTGTTTCTACTTGTGGCAAACGTAGGGGCGCAGTACTGTATACAAATTTGAGTGAACTTTTACGCGATTGAAAAGTAAAAAAACTCGCACTAATCACAATGGTGCGTAATGTAAATTTTTTATAAACTTCACATAGCTTACAAACTTACATTTACCTCTCAATTCTTTTTTTTCCCTACCTGTGCTGATAGCCTTGAGAGGTTATTTCAGCTTCACCCTAACGTGTAGGTGAGCTCTCGGGGCTCAAACCGGAGGTGTTGCTAGCACTGGCCCTAGCAAGAGCAGTGCTTCGCAGAGTCTACCACGCGAACGCCACCCACTGAGAAGATCCGGCGAGAAACGGGGCTGTGTCTGTGGGTTAATTTACTCACAGAGCCCTTCGTTGCAAGCGACTGGTTCGGCGAGGATGGTGACCGGTACCTCTCAAGTAAGTAAGTAACTCATATATACTGCGGTTATGTGCATGTGAATTATTTTTTTATATTTATACCAATAGCTTACACTGAATACTTCAAACATCTCATTCTCAGGGGGAGCAGGTGATTTAACCTGAATATGGTTTTTCAGCACAAAGATTAAATGCAACCTTATCTTGCAAATGTTTTTTCCGTGATTTAATATTTTTTTATTTATATCTTATATGGGTGGACAAGCTCACAGCCCACCTGGTGTTAAGTGGTTACTGGAGCCCATAGACATCTACAACGTAAATGCGCCACCCATCTTGAGATATAAGTACTAAGGTCTCACTCAGTATACAACGGCTACCCCACCATTCAAACTGAAACGCATTACTGCTTCACAGCAGAAATAGGAGGGGTGGTGGTGCTTACCGGTGCGGACTCACAAAAGGTCCTACCACCAGTAATAATTTTTTGCCAGATTATACTATAACAATTATAACTAGATACCAATGCATTTTTTTATTATTTGATACTCCTGTCCCAATTATAAAAGTTATCTCAAGTAAAATTGTGATCTGTTGGAAACTATTGTGTGAGCAAATCCATAATTTATCCACTATGNGGGGTGGTGGTGCTTACCGGTGCGGACTCACAAAAGGTCCTACCACCAGTAATAATTTTTTGCCAGATTATACTATAACAATTATAACTAGATACCAATGCATTTTTTTATTATTTGATACTCCTGTCCCAATTATAAAAGTTATCTCAAGTAAAATTGTGATCTGTTGGAAACTATTGTGTGAGCAAATCCATAATTTATCCACTATGTAAAAATATTTTGTATTATGCATAACATAAATCACAGAGGTAAACTCGAGGCAAAACATTATCAAATCATGGCAATTATGAATCAACATCCCGAAAGCAGAACACCCACATGCTGTTCTGAATCATTCTATATTACAAAAGTCAACAACAGCCAATAAAATAAATATATTCTATTTTAAAATGTTGATCTAATATCCATTAAGGCTGTCAGAGTTCATTATTTTGTTACACAAAAGGATATTTTCAGAACACTGTGATAACTCTGTACTATAATTTTTTTATTAGCTTGTACATGGTATAAGTACTAAGAGAAATATAATCGTAAACCTAATTACAAGTAAGCAGAAATGGATGTAATTTTATTATAACTTAATTGTAAATATAGTGAACAATGACATTTATTGATATCCAAATAATTTGTTAATAACAATTAGTAAACTAAAAACTAAGATAAGTGTAATTACAAAATAAGATTGCTTCGAGCAAACATCAAATCAGAGCAGGAAAAATACATAAAAGATTATAGTGCTAACAGGGGTATAAGAAGTCTTGAAAAATCTAAATTTAAATAAATTAATAAAAAAATTATCAAAATTTTTAAGCAGTATGTGAATAACATTCTGTAGTTTACTCAGATAGGCTGACTGGCAAATAATAAAATACCTGTAGATAATAACAAAATAAGGTAAAAATAAAATTGGACTTTGTTTGATGAACTGGACAGTTTATTTTACTTTTACTTATTGGACTGCTTAGTGTATTTAATAGAATTACAAAAAAAAATATTATTGGAGTTTGGGGATCCAATTGGTTTTCAAATTTTAATTACTACTTGTCACAGTATGAACTTATAATATTTTCAAATTATGTACTTCTGGTGACAAGCAGCACAGGTGATTTTATTAATTTTTATTAAAATATATTTAATACCTAATTTTATTACGTAAACTAATGCCTTAAATTATTTCATATTCTAATTTTATTGCAATCTCACACTGACCTTATAGTTCAATTTTATCTATGAAATGTAGTAATTTATCACTATTTTGCTATTGAATTAAATGCAATCTAAAAGCTAGCTTCAACAGATTCAACTACTCATCACTATTTAAATAAATAATAGCAATATTAGGCAAGATTTTCAAATGTGCTTACTACAGAATACTAATAATGTTTACAATATTGTTAATCACAGCTCGGTAGCAATATTTTTTCTTTCTACTTTATTGTTATGGAGTATATTTTTAATAAAACCGTTTTGTTAAGCCTTTATTTTTTTCGGTAAATATATATTTATTGTGCTTCAGTTTCCGACCAATGTCCGATAAGCCGGCATACGGCGTCTACTAATACCCAAGGCAAAATATAAACATTACATTTGCATGCAAAACATTATTATTTTTAGCCGACACTTCGAATTTATACAGAAAAAGTGACATAAAACTATTCAGGAACTAAGTTTTTAAATTTATCTTTACCTTGGAATGCAATTGGAAGGGGTTCTGTCTACTTCCCAGGCTGCAAAAAGTTTCATGGGAACAGGTTTCGATGCGTTAGTCATCTTCTCTGATTTATTTTTCTCGGTCATTGTAACAGCACTGCACACGTTTTCACAGCACAACACAACCGCAGGTCAGAATGGACATACTTATATATTAACAAAAAATAGCATCAAATTCATTCTTATTTGAGTAGTGTAATGCCGATGCAAAGAACAACAATACTCGTAAATTTCATAACACATCCGACTGCTGCTGCCGATACGAAACGGTCCAACGAAAACGTTCGATAAGCTTGACAGTTCAATGTGGGTGTTACCTGTTTTTATATTTAAGAATTCAATAAAACTAATGGCTTTTTTTATTTAATATTTTAGAACACAAATATGCTATCAGTGAACAAACAATAAATAAATAAAATTACTTTGTAATTGTGGATTAAAATTCAAATTAACTGTTGATTCAACAGTTATTTAATCTCAATTATTGAACTCTTGGTAATTAAGTCGAACCATCTCATTCTGTATTTTTAAAATAAAAAGCTAAATTGAGCAGGCCAAGTTTTCAAGTATTTTTATTCTTCTTTTATCTAGAACAAATGGATTTTTCTTTAAATAGCAACATTGCGTACTTCTCACGTCAAGCAATGAATGCATCCATTAAGCCGCGTTCACTCTTTGAAGCCAAATTTTAATTCAATATTGAAGTATGTACTGCCTAAACCGGAAAATCATTTCAAAACGGTTTCTCATGCTATTACTCTCTGAATATATTAACTGTTGTTCATTGACAAACCTAGTTACCATTTTTGTACATTAAGCAGTTATTGCAGTTAGAATAATAAAATAATAATTATTAGAGAACACAATTAAATTTAAGCGATTATCACTACTTTTCTCAAATATTGTTGATTTATATGTATTTTAAATAAAATAAACACTTCTTACATTTGACCTCAAATTACGTCAGACACGTATTAATATGTGCATTTGGATTCTGTTCATTGACCGGTAATTTTAAAAGAAAACCACTCTCTTCACCATTGTCTTCAAATGATTCTTTTGAATTATTCAATGTAATTTTAAATGTATAGACAGTGACCATAGACTTCATGACATAAATGCCGCCACCCGCCTTGAGACACGAGGTTAGCCTTGATTGTGTTTTATGTTTAACGGCTGTGTTACCCATTATGCCGAATTCCATTATTGGGACATGGCAGAAATAGTTAGGACGGTTATATCTATCTACCTACGTGGGTTTATAAACTATGTCCTATGGCCTCTAAGAGGCCCTAGTAATAATGCAAATTTATATATTTGGTAGGTTTTATTTTGTTACACGATGTAATTATTTTAAAGTCGAAGTCGTTTGCGAAAACTTGTTCTTGTATGATAAGTCTTTGTTTTGTATGTTATATTTTCATGTCACAATAGCAATAACACTGAGCGATTGAGGCATTTTCAGTTTTCAGCCTCCTAATTAACTTGTAGCAAAAATAAACGACGAAAATATGAAAATTATGTTGTGTAAATAGTTTATTATATGGGACAATTATAACATTCCATATTAATATATTTAAAACCACGCATGTTTACTTCGATTCTAGGCTTCTATACTTATTTTTCTTATATTATTTGTGTTCTTCCTCGAATTGTTAATATTCCAGGATTTTATGCTCTCGGATTTTTTTCTAGTGTTATGGAAAATAAAACAACTATTGTTCAAAACTTAAAAATAAAAGGTTTTAATATTTATAAAGAACATAACATTATATGAAACAAAAAATTTCGCTTAAACCTAGGACTTCTAAAAGCGAAGTTCATTAGATTGGAATGTAATAAGTGTAAAAATTCAATTTAACACTTAAGAAGTCGATTTCAAATGTATGTATTAAATGTAAATATTATTATAAAAATTTTAAATTTTAGACTAGCATGTTTTCCATTTTCTTCATAATGAAAAGAAGAAATTCGAATGTGTATATTTTTAATAAAGTTCCTACTGTTGATTAATGCAAAGTGAAGCTGCTAAACTAAGCCTAAGTGTATTAAATATAGGTATAGAGAAAAACAAAGGCTAATTAAATTTATGTATATCAGGCAGTTCCTGATCAAAAATGAAACATTAAATTTGGCAAAAACATTAGGTATGTTATGGGCAAAGTTCATTTAGCAACTTCTGGAGGACAATCTGGCTGAGATGATGGATGAGCCGCACGGAATGCGGGATGGTTCTCCAGTTCACGGTCTATGCGGAGGATGATTGGGAACGGACGTAGATCAACATGAAATCTGTAATAGAATAAGAAAGTATTTATTTTTGTGTTTTTTAAAATCTATACCTATATTATAAAGCTGAAGAGTTTGTTTGTTTGAACGCGCTAATTTCAGGAACTACTGGTCCGATTTGAAAAGTTCTTTCAGTGTTGCATAGCCCATTTATCGAGGAAGGCTATAGGGTATATAACATCACGCTAAGACCAATGCAAGCGGAGCACCAATAATGTTTCAAAATCGGGGTTATTTTTATCACGTTATTATTTCCGCTTCGTGCGCTGCAGAAACGGTTAAAGTTTCGCTAAAATAATGTATGACAGAATTGTTCCCCTTTAAAAGATTTAAAAAAAGACCGCGTCAGCATGTCTATATGTTAAGGTTGACTATAACGTTTTTTAGACTAACCAAAGTTTTTCTAAAATAAAGCATTAATTGTGAACTATTCCACGCGGACGAAGTCGCGGACAAAAGCTAGTGTTATATAATTTTTATCAACCTATGGAAGTCCACTACTGAACATAGAATTCCTCCAATTTTTGCGATAACGATCGTTCTTACGCTGCCTACGTCCAACGGATTCTGACGACCTTCGATAGTACGTCGGTCCACCTTTCGAAAGGCTTACTCGCGCTATGCCGTCAGATATGGCATAGTCTGCATTAGAGAACTTTTTCACCGCGGGGGCCATTTGTTGTACCAGCATTGTGCCCTGCCCACTGCAACCTCGTAATTCTTCAGTCTATTTTTCTACTTTTTCGATCTCGCTTTTTTTTTCTACCTAAGCTGATAGCCTTGAGAGGCTATTTCAGCGTAACCTTAACTAGTAGGTGAGCTCACGGGGCTCAAACTGGAGTGATGTTAACATTGACCCTAGCAAGAGCGGTGCTTCGCAGAATCTACCACCGGATTGGAAACGCGACCCACTGAGAAGATCCGGCGAGAAAATCAGGGCTGTCTCTATGGGTTAATTCGCTCGTCGAGCCCTTCGTCGGAAGCGACGGGTTCGACGAGGACGGTGATCGGTGCTTGTGGTACCTAAATGGATCCGGAGGATCCGTAATGACGTGTGGATCTCGCTGGGAAACAACGGCCATATCTATCTTTAATTTTCTTACAATGACTTTGAGCATTTGGATGAGGCCTATTTGTACATCACGCACTGGTTGAAAATTGTTGTCTTGAGACACTGCGGTATTTGGGCTGAATAGATTCTGCATAGCTCTCCGAACGTTGCTCATCCGATTTTACTTTACGCGCTAATGACTCGATATTCTCGACTCAAAAACTCGAATTTTCAAATGTACGTAATTTTTGGAAGGGATCAATATTGTGAGCTTGCCTCGATCATCATTACTGATCTGTCCCATAAGCGTCATGAAAGGAAATGGTCTTCTTATGATATTAAAATTTTTGTCACGTTTGACAATTGTCGGCATTGACGTTACAATGTTTATGAGCTCCAATTAACAGGCGCTGTGAGCTGGTATCTATGCCAGTAAAAAAACTAATACATTTTGATTCAATAGATATTCTCGCATTAGAAATGCTTCAGACAACACTTCATGGATTGGAACCTCTGGTATCACTAGTGGATTTTATTGGTCTGGTCTGGTCATATTCTAGAAAACATCGTAACATTTGTGCTGTGAGTTAAATTACTATAATTAATAGCAGCCCTTGGAACCGATTGACAAATGCGAGCTAAATAATCTAAACCAGAAACAAGATTAAACCAGAAACTAGAAATAAGATGATTCTTGCTTGGAATATGCAATATGCTGGACGGTGTGATTATCTCTTCATTTGATGTGGAAAAATTTAATTAGGATGACAAATGGCGAGCTAGGAATACTGCCTGACATTTTCTGTTTAAAAAAAAAGAAAAAAAACCTCACCTTCTAGCATTGAACACTTGTGGAACTAAGCAACAATCGGCAAGGGTAATCTCATCACCAACACAATATTTTCCGGCAGTGGTCGATAGCAACTTTTCTATAGCTCTGAAGCCCCTTGTGATCCAGTGTTGGGACCATTCCTTCTTTTTCTCCTCACCAACATAAATTAGCACAATCAGATTCTGCAATGGTTGTATTCCTGAGGCTATCATCTGTAATAAGATAGTATTTTTTAATATTTTAAGCAATATTTAACTAGTAATTCCATTATTTAAAAAGTTATACAGTTTATAAATAATCATATTTAAAATATTTTTAGTATTGTAACAAAACAAGTGTTTAGTTTTAATATAACTCCGAGTGTGCTAGTGTTTTGAGTTCTGTTTGGTCCTGGTAAACATCTTTTACTTAACCAGGGCATAAAATTTAGACAATTAATAAAGGCAAAATAGTATTTTTGTTAAACTTATTCATTATTTACTATAAGTAAAAATGTATAGTATAACCAAGAATTGAATAATTTATGATTTTTTTAACTAACCTGAGACATTTATGTGAAAATAAAAAATATTTTTTTTTATTGCTTAGATGGGTGGACAAGCTCACAGCCACCTGGTGTTTAGTGGTTTCTGGAGCCCATAGACATCTACAACGTAAATGCGCCACCCACCTTGAGATATAAATTCTAAGGTCTCAAGTATAGTTACACCGGCTACCCCACCCTTCAAAACGAAACGCATTACTGCTTCATGGCAGAAATAGGCAGGGTGGTGGTATCTACCCGCGCGGACTCACAAGAGGTCCTACCACCAGTTTAAATATGTACTTACTTCACAAATTTCACGAACTTTTGCCCTCTTAAAGCAATCTTGCGGCATAAGAGGTCTCTGTGGTCTTGTCTCCTCTAAATAATGCATGATGTTTAATGATTCAATAAGAGTGTGCCCATCTGTCAATCATAACACAAAGCAAAATGACACTAAAATTTTATAATAAGTATTGATTGTTTTGGTTCATTTAAAATGTTTAATATTTTAAAATTAATATTTTTTATTATTTTTATTGCGTAGTTGGGTAGAAGAGCTTTCAGCCCACCTGGTGTTAAGTGGTTACTGAAGCACATCTACAATGTAAATGCACCACCCACATTAAGATATAAGTTCTAAGGTCTCAAGTATAGTTACAACTGCTGCCCCACCCTTCGAACCGAAACGCATAATTGCTTCACGGCAGAAATAGGCAGGGTAGTGGTACCTACCCGTGCGGACTAACAAGAGGTCCTACTACCAGTCATTACGCAAATTATAATTTTGCGGGTTTCATTTTTATTACACAATGTTATTCCTTCACCGTGCAAGTCAATCGTGAACATTTGCTGAGTACGTAATTCATTAGAAAAATTTATACCCGCCTGGGATTCGAACACCGGTGCATCGCTCAACGTGAATGCACTGGACGTCTCATCCTTTAGGCCATGACGACTTCAAATTACTTAAATTTGTTGAGGTTCAGCTGTGACTATCAATATAATGTATGAAATACATCAATTTGTGATGACTACACTTGCACCTTAGTTTCTTAATGATACTAAGCAAAAAAATAATATTTATCACAATCAAATGAATGTTAGTTAATAAGAGGAAGTCATAAATTTTTATTTTTATCCTTTACGTAATATCATTCTTGACAACATTTTAGAAACTTGTTTGTTAATATGCATAATAATCAAGATTCTACCAAAATTTTAGACAGATTTTGGAATTTTCCTATTTATACTTGGTTTAAAATTAAAAATGATTTTATAATAAATTTTAGTTCACAGTATAAAGTTTCTGACACTCTTATATGGATCTAATTGAATTCAAACATAATCTATTTATTGTAAAATAATATTAAACTTATTAATTTAGTAAAATATTTATACTACAGACCAATGCATAAAGATGGTACTTGCTCCATAGGGTTGACTTCTCTATACTCATTGCAGTGTTGTTCTCCGCCTCCCTTAATCAGGCTGACAGCCTTTATGTCGTATGGTATTTCTTTAAGATTGAGTGCTATGCGAACTCGCCAGGAGCATGAGCTGCGCCAGTATGAGTATAATACTGGCTGCTTAAAAAGTAATAAAACAAATTGGAACTTTTGTTATATATTTAAATGGTTGGTAATAGTTTGGAAAGTCCTATTAAAACATCAGATAAGAATATATAGTCTATAGAATATAATAGTTATGTTTATTGTAAATACTTGTGAAAAACATTTTGAAACACCTTTTATTTCAATATATTAAATTAATTTCAGGGCTATATAACACATAACAACAGGTTGTATTTAACAAATCTTTTCTAACATGAAAGTACAGTAAATAAGTGAAATGTTATGTGTTAATTAAATGTTTTTTTTTACCTTGTTTTCAACAATAGGATCACTCATTTTATATCACACAGTTCGAGGAGATAAGATAGACTGGTAGTACTTAGCCGAGAGCACGATAGTCGCTATATTTAACCTGGTGATTCCAGTTTGCCGAGTTTATTTGAATGTCAAGATAGTCCAGTATGTAAATGTAAATAAATTAATGTTGTTACCTATTTATTTTTTATTTATACGCTCCGTATGAACTCCTATAAGACTTACCTTGCCCATGGCAGAGGATGAAACGGAACCATTATATTTGTTATAGTACGTAATTTTGACGGTTTTGTTTGTCCTTTTAGACAAGAAATGCTAAGTTTGAATATTTATAAAAGATGAGATTATAAACAAACGCTAAGAAGCTCCAATGACTTTTTTGTAGCAACAATCATAGATTATAACCAGATCAGGNTGAACTCCTATAAGACTTACCTTGCCCATGGCAGAGGATGAAACGGAACCATTATATTTGTTATAGTACGTAATTTTGACGGTTTTGTTTGTCCTTTTAGACAAGAAATGCTAAGTTTGAATATTTATAAAAGATGAGATTATAAACAAACGCTAAGAAGCTCCAATGACTTTTTTGTAGCAACAATCATAGATTATAACCAGATCAGGCAACGCACTTTAAAGTTTAATCTATGCAGTATACGGTACCACCATGGTAGGTACCTACTACCTAACACGTTTGATGTTTGCAACTGTTTGGGTTTGTGGTCCACTCAATCTATAACAATTGTACACAAATTAAAGACCAAATAATAAACTACTCCGCTGATTAGTGTGTTTCAGGTGGTATTGGAATTTCTTTCTCTGAGAAGAGTACCATACTAGCTAAATTAATAGCTACAGTAGATAGTAAAAACTAATTGTACCCTACCGCAACCGCTTTATGCTGTCCACAATATTGCAAAAACTACAGACTAATACACACCTGCATTACTCTATTCGTTGATACAGGCAGACACCACTACAAAACAGACTTCATTATGATTTTATACAATTATTTTGTAGGTAAACAGGCATAATACAAAGTAATTAGCAAACTATCAGGTTGAGCCCATGAGCTCACCTACCGGTCCATGAGTAGTTGGAATAGCCCCTTAGACTATCAACAATTACGTAGGGGGAAAATAGTTTAAAAATATTATAATGGTCATTTTTTGGTGCTAAATATCTTGCACTTTTGCCCCAGATGAATGAGTCCACGTCCCAATTGGAGATAAGTGGTTGCTGTTCATGAACCTGAGGTCAAAGACTCAGTTTTACTGAATGACGTCCGACCATTGAATACGAACTGGAGGGCTGCTTCATGGGCAAGGCAGGCAGAATGGTGGTACCTATGAGGGTCACCATAATAATTATTAAAAACCAAAAACATTTAAGCAATGATTTTATTTACATCTTAATTTACAATTTCTATCAACTGCGTCCCTCCCCCGGAGACTGTCAGGATCCTTCTTTGTGTAGCCCGTTTTCGTTAACCTTATTTGTGATTCGCTCCATGACTTCGTGGTTGTAAGTAGAATGTAGCATTAGACCGAGTACGCCCGCTCTACAAAATGAAACAGTAATTTTTTTTTTAAATCTGGTACAGAATACAAGTCCAGCTCGGCGAATTACCTCACGGCCAAAAGCCTCATGACGTGAATGCTCAGTCAACCGTTTGAGTAAAGTAACATTTAGAATTTAAGATTAACACACACAAGACAAGTTAAACGCAAGACATGTTAAATGTACTTGATTATCACTTTAGTAGGTAAAGGGGACAATTTTTTTATAGCTTAGATAAATGTACCAGCTCACGGCCCACCTAGTGTTAAATGACATAGACTTCAACAACGTAAATACCGCCATCAACCTTCAGACATGAATTCGAAGTCTCAATTTTACAATACAATGGCTGCCAACTACTACAAGCAATACTATAGAGGTTTTTAGCGCTTAAGACATGCATTGAAGGAAAGTTTATTCTTGAGCCGGGTGGTACATAGCGAAAACTGAAACAGTTTTTTTTCCTTTCTGCGCTGATGGTCTAGAGAGACCCTAACAGCGTAACCGTAACTAGTAGGTGAGCTCAGGGGCTCAAACCTGACGACGTTGCTAACACTAACGGTAGCAAGTGCTTCGCAAAATCTACCACCGGATCGGAAGCGCGACCCACTGAGAAGATCTGGCGAGAAACTCAGTGGGCTGTGTCTGAGGGTTAGTTTACTCGTCGAGCCCTTCGTCGCAAGCGACGGGTTCGACAAGAACGATGACCGGTGCTTGAGGTACCTAAAAGCATCGTTAGTGGATCGGGAGGATTCGAAATGACGTGGAAACTGTACTGTGCATGATCGTAGCGACTGTTTTACATAAATCAGGTTGACACACCTGTATTTTTAAAAAATATAAAAAAAATAGCTGAGCAACATGGTTGTCATACCTTGAAGCCATAGCCAATCTAATACTACGCTCCTGTTCCACAAGTTCATCGAGTTTCAACCATTGCCGGACCCTCTCCATGTCTATCTCGGCTCGACGCAGCTTCTCCCACTGGTAGTGACGCAAGCACGACTTCTTGGGCGCCCGGCAGAACTCGCCCGACGGATCGAACACGTTGCGGACCAGCGGACACCCGCAGACATCGCTGTCGCTCACTTTGGAATCTTTAAAATGTTCTGGACACATCACCTGACGAATTTGTTTATTTTTAATACGCTTTTCTTAGCTTCAGGCGTATGTGTGTGTTAGTATGTAACGGAATTTTTGAACATGATTTTGACGCCCTACAAAACGTCAGATTAATTCGAAATTTGGCATATTTATTAAGGACCGATGACAATGCAATATTAAAAAAAAACTGGAAAAATTGAAATACAATAAAAAATGAAAAAAAAATTGTTTAAAAAACAAAAGAAAACGTTTTTTATAGAAAATCCAACTAAAAAATAGAAATTTTTTTTAATAAATTTGAATTAAAAATAGGTAGTGTATGAAAAAAATATTATATTGTAAAAAAGCGTGGTACGCGTACTTTTTTTAGTCTTGGGTCATTGAACATCGACACTTACCCTCAATCTCTTACAATATGTTGCATTGATAGGATTGTAATAATCGCAGAACATGCTTTGTCCGTCTATGCGCGTCCTATGGCGACTGCCGAAAGACGCTTGCGCTTCGTATTTTATAAAACATTTCTCCATGTGTTTGACGGCTGTCCTCGAGTGGATCTCGTGGCCGCACGTTATGCAGTACATTGAGGTTTCATCGTCGGCGTCCTGTTGCGAAAGTTGTTATACTAATAAAATTTCTTGAAAACAAAAATTAATTTTAATTACCAAAAAGTTACAATGAACATAAATTGCAATTTTTTATTGTTTTTCATATTCAATACATTATCATAATTGAAAGGATAGTTAAAAGATTTAAAAGGCCAATGGTTTTTTTTTTAGGTGTTATAAATAGCAAAAGAATTTCAGACTTCACGATATTGAGGCATGGCAAACTTTACAAATTGCAACTTTTTTGGTACTACAGAATTTGAGATATTACGTCACACTGTAGATTATATTGGGAAAGGTGATTAAAACAGAACACATACGTTCCTCGCAGGTAAAGAAATATTCACATTTCTCAATGTTACGTCGGTCACACAAAGTTATTATTATTAACTGGTATTGTAATAGTTATTTTTAAATGACAATTTATTGAACATATTAGTTTAAGTGAACAAATCCGTTTGAAAAATATTGATGGAACATAAAAAAAAATTCTATTTGGAAACAAAATATAATGTCAGGACGAAGACATTTTAAGTATTTATGTTTCAATGTACACCTTCAAAATGCTTAACAGTCACCATATTGAAACAGTGTGAACCATAAATGAGGCCGTCAGCGCAAAAGTGGCCTAACCCACAATTCATATTCATGCTTATGTATTGCGATTTATTTAAAACATAATAAATTATGATGCAAAATCGGCCTATTCCTAGTTTCAATCCATAGATAACAGATGACTTTGTAAACATTATTTTACCGCGTTTTTTTTTTGCCTACGAAGTATTGTAAAGGTAAATTCGAACCTTATTATCTCCATACTAACTATGGTAAGCTTAGGCCACTTTTGTGCTGACGGCCTCAAAAAATACTTTTCTTTTCTCTAAAATCCATTGAAAAGCCACTAAATTTCTATTTTAAATAACAATTTTGTACCTTATCATCTGTATGAAGAATTGTAGCGTTTTTAGCTTTGGCGAGCAGTGCGTCCAGATCTGTGTGCTGTTTATCGAGACTCCGCAGCGCGGCCTGCGCTTTAGCGATCCCGCTGCGTACCACTTCTAGTGCCTTGCGGTTCTTCTGTTCGGCAACGCAGCTCGACAACGACCACTCTTGTATTCGTTGTGGGAGCACCTGAATTAGCATTATATTGAATCAATTGACACCAGACATTCTTCATATAACTATGAAATATAGATTTGTCATTTAGAGCTGATTTCGGTGCTGTTCCAATACTAGCGACCGTCTTTAGCTATTAGGCAGTAATCAAACCAGCCAGGAATAGAACATTTAGAAAAAAAAAAGAATTTAAAATTTCTCGCCTGTCTGCGAAATACAAATGAAAATAAAAAAAACAAACTTGGTATATCCGGGAAGTGGCGAGCCTTATCCCGCACTGTGAGGAGCAGTACTTCGAGGAGTATCGAGCGGGCAGCGTGCACTGCGGCCCGTAGCACTGACGCGCATGCGCAGTCTGTAGATGCGCCAACGATTCTTCTGGCTCATACGGTTCACGTTCATGATGTTTCTTCTTTATTCTGCTACTGCTGTTGTCAATTTCGTTTACAATTTCAAAATCCGTCAGTTAACTCCAATACTTTTATTTCTACTTATTGCTCATACATCAGTAGAAGCTCTGAGTAGTTCCATTGAAGTATGTCAGATGGCAAGAGTATTGTTTCAACAGAATATGACACTATATATATAACACTATATAACACTAAGGTCGTTATATTATGTTTGTAGCTTAGTTACAGCAAATCAGAGCCCTTTTAACAGTTATATGAGGAGAATCTGTAATATTGCATTTAAAAAAAATCTAGCAATGCTTACCTGGGTGGTTTAGAAGATTTTTTACTTTTAACACAAACTCTCAATTTGCACCTGAACTTTTTATTAGCACTTCCATATTTGAACATCTCCTCACATGCATCACAACTGCAATTAAAATCATTATAGTGATCATACATTTCTGTACGACAAAAGAACAATGGGAAAATGTTTGGAAACAATCCTGTTATGAAATGAAACAAAAGATTGTATCTGTTTATTGTATATGTGAATTTTCTTGAATTAAATCTAAATATTTACTTTAATGTTTGGGTAAAATTCAGTTAACTTAAAGTGTAACAAAGGAAATCCAAATTTCAATATTTATATCTTTTAATATCAATTTGTAAAAGTTAGAAATTTATATTGATTGAAGAACTTTTTCATGTAGAAAAATGAGTGATCACTATATATACATATGTCTCCTAAATATTTAGGAGACGCATACTTTGCATTAATTCATTTCTTCAAAATTACTATTTAAAAAATGACAGACAAAGTGAATGTCTGTCTATGATCTATTGATAGCAATAGCAATTTTTTGTAGTGCTGTTAGTAGATACTGCAGTAAAAATCAGATAAATGGGGCATGAGATATACTCACTGGCCACAATCGTAATCTTGTAAGCAACCAGGGCAATCTCCACAACCATCTTTAATTATAGTTCTCTTGGAAGATTTATTTTCCGAATGATCCTTTTCTTTCCGCTGCTTTTTTCGGTCATCACGACCTACACAAGAAACACAGTACAATAACAAAAACGTTTTATGTTAACTTTTATTTTTTAATGGCTTTCGGTTTCTAGTTTCATTCAACCACGGTTCAAATTGATCGAGAGATAAAAATCAATCATACTTCATACATCTATTTTGAGGTAATGCAATGCTAGGATTTAAATTTTATTATGCAGTCCTATCATACAATACTAATAAATGTAGCAGTATAGAACAAACAAGACAAAAAAAAATATTTATACCAGAATCAACCTCGTTTTCTCTTTTTTGTGGTCTGAACCTTGTCTTCAAAGTCGGATCTTCCTCTCTACATCGGTCACAGAAGTAATTCTTGATGTACTTTGATTCTCTCTCAGAAATGTTGATACAATCACCATGATACCATTCCTCGCATGCATCACATGCTCTGAAAAAAAAAAAAACTTTTTTACTGTATACCTAAAAGGCTTTAAGTAATAATTAAATATAAGCCGAATATATTTCAACTACTGAGTTACATCAATGTGGCCAATTGAACAACCACTGTCTCATTGTCACAGCATACAAGATTCAGTATGATTTTCAGTCATCAAATTTCCTTTATTTACCATTACTTACGTTTTGTAATACTGTAACTGTGATAAATTTTAAGACATATCTTAAATGAATTAGTGTTGTGTCATTCTTAGTTGTGAACTCAACATCAAATCTGTATATATTNAAAAAAAAAAAACTTTTTTACTGTATACCTAAAAGGCTTTAAGTAATAATTAAATATAAGCCGAATATATTTCAACTACTGAGTTACATCAATGTGGCCAATTGAACAACCACTGTCTCATTGTCACAGCATACAAGATTCAGTATGATTTTCAGTCATCAAATTTCCTTTATTTACCATTACTTACGTTTTGTAATACTGTAACTGTGATAAATTTTAAGACATATCTTAAATGAATTAGTGTTGTGTCATTCTTAGTTGTGAACTCAACATCAAATCTGTATATATTAATTATAATACATTTAAAAAAATGTTTTGTTTTCAAATACAATTTCAACCAATTACAATAAAAAAGTTGAAATCATAAATGCCCAATCTTAGACATCTTAGAATTTAACAAATCTAGAATATTTTAATGATAATTACCATCTAAATTGTGTACTGTCATAATGAAGTGTCATCCAAATAATGACCACATCCAATGTAATGATCAAATTTTTCATAAGTAAATATGATATTAAAAACGTGAGCTTCAATTTGAAATAGTTTAAATTGTACTTATTTTGTACTTGTATATTTATTATATGTGAATATAAAATTATATTTATCAGAATAAATATAAAATATTCAAAATATATAAGCCAATAGTGTAAGCTGTTCTATCACTTTTAACAATGTGTTTGATTTATGCTAATCAATGATGTTGATGTCTATCCATTTAATAATAAAAAGATACATGTCGAAATTCATTCAAATACACATCATCTTACCAACATCTTGCTAATGAAGTTGTATTAACGCAATGGTGAGTGTAGTGTTGTCTAATACACTGCAGCATTGTATAAAATCAAATATATTAGGAAAAACTTACATCATAAATCGCGAACTATCCGAAGATCGACAAATGCAGTACGCTTGTCCAGCTTGATTCAGCAATGTTGTAATTTTGGATTGGCGTTCAGGCAAGTCGAACTGCTTAGCAATGTCCGCTTTCTGGAGCAAAAAGATATTATTTACTAGATACATTTGATTTCTATAGGATTTACATTTCACCAACACTTACAGATTGTCTCGACTTTTTATCACCCATTGTATTCCCTTTATTTCAAAACCGATTCAATGACACTAACAACTGCTAGCACCCAAGGAAGTTTTTATTTTTTATTTAACAAATTTTATTCTTTTTTCAAATAAATAACTTCATTCATTCTTTAGACTCGTAATTTTTTTTTCAATTTTCTTTTCATTTCCTCATATTTTTAGAAAGTTATTGAAATATAAAGTTTGGCCACAATTTTCCAAGCTATAAAATTGTCGTTTGACACATGGGATAATCAAAGTTGAGAATTTGATTGAATGGTCTGTTCCAAAGACAAAAAGGGCCCATAATGCCAAGTCTATTGTAACAAAAAATCGAACTGAAGGACGGAAAGTGATTTAAAAAAGAAGAAAGATTTTTCAGAGGTTTTATCAGGTTAAAATTTGAAATGATAATTCAAGTATTAACCTTTTAGTGTCTCTAAAACTTATGAAGGGTAGAAAGAAGTAAGGAGCACCATCTTGTATAGGGGAGAAGCTGAAAAATGTTAGAAGATTACTGGTGGTAGTACGTCTTATGAGTCCGAACGGGTAGGTACCACCATCCTGCCTATTTTTGCCGTGAAATAGTAATGCGTTTCGGTTTGAAGGGTGGGGCAGCTGCTGTATTGTTCCTTACAACTCATGTCTCGAGGTGGGTGGCGGCATTTACGTTGTAGATCTACGGGCTGCCGTTACCACTTAACGCCAAGTGGACTGTGAGTTAGTCCACCCATCAAGGCTTTAAAAAAAAGATTAACTAAATTAGCGCTAGTCTAGGAAATGGAAATGATAGGAACATGGGAGGTTTAAGCAGAGTGAAGTGTGCTGGGTTGAAAATTTAATATTTTTTGAGACTTGCGTAAAATATTATATGGACTTTTTGGCGGGAACGCAAGAAGTGAAATTGTGTGATTTGTTTTATTTTGTCTATTTAGTGTTTCTTCAGGTTTAAATGTGTAATAACGGTGGTTTATTAACTGTTTAATATATGTGAAAGTGGACAAATCTGGGAAAATGAAACAAAGCCGCTGGACGTAACTTCTCGGGATCCTCCAAAAAGTCCGCTGAAAAAATCTCAGTAAATGAATGACCACCACCATTTTACTGATATTTCATCCCACATCATCTCATTTCAATTCATTTAATTTCATCCCAGTTGATTAATGTCTCAAATTACCTAATCATCTTCATTCACTCCTTAATATTTATAATTTTTCATAAAAATAAGAATACTAATTAAAATAAGACATGACCTAAAAGTCTTAGTTACCAAGTCATAAAATCCTTTAAAAAAAGCAATATTATGTGGCCTATGATGCTGTTGCCTAGCAACCAAAAACCAATGCTGTCTGTCACGTTTGTTTTCGCTAAAGATTCGCACCTTTGAATATTTCTTCTATATCTATTTTTAAGTCATGGAAGAATTGAATACCCCCCAAATAATTACCCATATTGAAAATAACTTAAACCATTCACTATTTGATTGCAAGTGGATACCATGTTCGGCTAAATTTATAGTACTTGGTTCTTTACCGAAAGGCTCGGGTACCATTGAAATATTTGAAATAAACGCCGGAGAAATTAAGAAAATAAAAGAAATTGAGAGGTCTAACTCGTTTAAATGTGGAACGTTTGGAGCAAGTAGCGACATTGAGAGACGATTTGCTACTGGAGACTTTAGAGGCACTTTGGAAGTATGGTTTGTAACAAAATCATAAAATCCATACTTTTTCCGGATAATCATAAAAATCGAATGTTAATAAATAATTTATTTTCTATAGGGACTTAGAAAAAGGTTCCCAAGTGTACATAACAAAAGAACATTCAGATATAATTAACTCAATAGATGGGATGGGAGGTAACACAACCAACTGTGGAGCTCCTGAAATTGTAACTGGCAGTAGAGATGGTAAGGTTTCATGCCAAGGATTATCCTGTTACATTAAAGGGTACTCGTGTGGTGATGAGTAGATTTTCTAAATCAATATTACAATACCTTCTAAGATTTGACTACCATTAGCCATGTTGACATACTGGGATAGTTTTTTTTTTATCATCATCAGATTTTGATTTTGTCCAAAATATTTACAAATTTTATACACAAACCTTTCTCACACTTCTATTTATATCTTTGAAAATAGTATCAAAATTTGTTAAGTCATTTAGAATAAGTAATCAGAGAAACAGACATTGGGTTTAAAACTCTTTAGGAAAAATAAAAATGGTAGTGATAACATAATAATTACTGAAATTATAGGAACAGTAAAGGTTTGGGATCCAAGGCAAAGAGGTAAACCTGTTGCAAACATGCAACCAATGCAAGGTGAGACTAGAAGGGATTGCTGGGCTGTTGGCTTCGGAAACTCATTTAATGATTCTGAAAGGATTGTAGTTGCTGGTTATGACAATGGAGATCTTAAAATGTTTGATTTGAGAACAATGTCACTTAGGTGGGAATGTAATTTGAAGAATGGAGTAAGTATGTAATTTCAAGACTAAATTTAAGATTTTTATGTCACAACTCACAATAGGCATATTATACAACATGCATGATAAAAAATTGTTACTGAAACCTGTTAACATCAGTAAATACAGGGTCATTACTAGTTGTATAGTAGCAGTAGTTATTCACTTTAATCTTGTCCTAAGAAAGATGTGTTATATTTTTCAAAAAGTCACAGTAGTGGGGGAGGGAGTTCATTTTAATTTTAATGTGAGTAATTATTTAAGAAAACATCAACACAATTGAAGTAAATAAATTCAGTTAATCTCGAAATTTTTATCATTACCTCAACTGGTACTCTGATGAACAAAGACTTGTTATTATCTGTGTGTGTTTTAATTTTTTGTAATTTATGATATATCCTAAATTAGCTTGATAGGTTGTTTTGCAATAGAGATATATATTTATATGACTGATGGTAGGACCTCATGTGAGTCCGCACGGGTAGGTACCAGTACCCCGTCTATTTCTGCCGTGAAGCAGTAATGCGTTTCGACTTGAAGGGTGGGGCGGCCGTTGTAACTATACAGAGACCTTAGAACTTATATCTCAAGGTGGGTGGCGCATTTGCATTGTAAATGTCTATGGGCTCCAGTAACCACTTAACACCAGGTGGCCTGTAAGCTCGTCCACCTATGTAAGCAATAAAAAAAAAAAAATATATATATATATTAAATTATATCTAAGTAAATCAAAATTAATATATAAATATTGCAGAATTTTTGTTTGTTTAGGTATGTTCCTTAGAATTCGATCGTAAAGATATTCCAATGAATAAATTAGTGGCAACCACACTTGAAGGGAAGTTTCATGTTTTTGATGTGAGGACTCAAAATCCAACTAAAGGATTTGCTCAGGTAACCTAGTGTTTTACTGACCAGTAAGGAATGTCTTTGCGAAATAAATATGAAGATTGCATGCAATGCAGAGCATTGTTAAATTTTAATTTTCCTACCCCTGCCTTATCTATTTTTACCACCATCAAATCACATGTTCTGGTCTATAATATAGTACAGCTGTTGTTCCCATTTCCTTGAAACTTTATCTACTCTAGGTATTTGGCAGAATTCCTATTGCATTGTCTGTTATCTCAGCAATAGATGGGCTGTATCTCTGTTCATCAGAATACATGGACCTTAATATATTAAAAGCACAATCTATAGTTACATCAGTTAATTACTGTTCTCCCATAATATTCATGAAACAATGCTGCTCTTAATAAACTAAATTTATTAAACTGAAAGCCATACGTTTTGTTTTTCAGTGATTAATTTATGTCATAGGTAATTTTTTTAAATATTCTGTCCAGGTGGTGGATAATTCAACGAAGAGCGGTACGATATGGATTGCGCGACACATCCCTCAGAACCGTGACTTGTTTATGACGTGTGCTGGTAATGGGCAAGTCACATTGTGGAAATAGTAAGACTTTGATTTTGCCTTATGATCAGTTAAAAGTAGGACTTCCCGGTCATTGTTGCATCGGGCATCTACTACTGTAGGTTCATAGTTATAGTATAAAAATTATATCAGAAGCTTTCGTGTAGAAGTTCACTATAACTAAACATATATTCAATTGCATTGTACAAACATCGCGCAGAAGTATAGAAGATAAGCATTTTTTTATAGAAACTCAGGAAAAAGCAATAGACGGTCTGTGTGCTTAGTACGAGTTTTTTAACGTTGTCGATAGTGTAAAAGTTAAGGCAACTTTGTATGGAATTGGAACGTCTGCCTACGTTTGCCGCTAGGGGCGCTGTTCCAACTGCATACAAATTTAAGTTAACTTCTACGCTATCGAGAACGTTAAAAAACTCGCACTAAGCACACTGGTCCAAAACATTCCTTGTTCTATGGCCACCAGATATACATATTTATATAAGTTTAAATATGTACTAAATAGATATTAACCATCATTAAAAAACAAATAAACCTGTTCATCACAAAATGTTTGTCCGACCAGCTACTTAGAGTCAATTAGCGATATATTAATTAAAACGAAGAACAAATGGCCGGTAGTCCGACAGTAGTTTCAATAAATCAGAGAGACGTTTCCGAACCGACGGTAGATTCTGCGAAGCACTGCTCTTGCTCATAGTGTTAGCAACGCCCCCAGGTTTGAGCCCTGTGAGCTCACCTACTAGTTAGGTTACGCTGAAAGCCTCTCAAGGCTATCAGCTTAGGTAGGAAAAAAGAAAAGAGACGCATTATAATTGTTTAGCCGGTTTACCGATTTTTTTTAGCAAAGCAAGATAGACTTTCTACCACTGTTTATTTTTGGGGAGGGTTACAATACACAATTCGTTTGTTACAGTGAATACCCGGTACAGAGGTTCCGGGTGGACACCGAGGGTGTAGCTATCGGAGTTCCGGGGAAACTGAAACGTCTCCAACGCATGGTGGTGAGCTCGCAGCCGATCAACGCTCTGGAATGGAATAAAGACCACTTGGGCCTCGCCGTCGCCACCGCATACGATCAATGTATTCGAGTTCTGATCACCACTAAGTTGAATCTGCAGTGATTTGCTTTAGAAAGGCCGTTTTATTTGAACAAAGAAACGCGATTATTTTTGGCGTGTGGTCGGCAAACAGAGTCAGTAAACAGAGCTGGGCTGGCCAAGACCGGCCCCAGAACCCACACTGACTACAACACAGATGCCGTTAGCTTACAACACCCGAAGACAGTTCACGTTTCGATGGTTTTGGAATTCATTATTGTTTTTGCATTATGGGGTGAACGAACGGTTCGCCTATTGTTACGGGAGCCCATACACATGGCACCTTGAGACATGAGGTCGATGTCTCAGAAGCTTTGTATTACTACTGTCTCACTCTTCTAACTGGAACAGATATCTGTTCATGTTGTGGATGTAAGTAATTTAGTGTGGAACTCTTGATCTGATCAGACAATGTATTTAATATGTGCTGTGAGTATATTAAGTTGCTTAAGTTGTAATTTCATATGTTAATAGTAAATAATGATACTTTAGTTTTATTGTTTCTTTTTACGTTATTAAATTTTTTTAGTTATTACGTTTTTTACTGATGATAGGACCTCTTGTGAGCCCGCAGTGGTAGGTATGCCTATTTCTACTGTAAAGCAGTAATCCGTCTCGGTTTGAAGGGTGGGGTAGCCGTTGTGGCATACTGAGACCTTAGAACTCATCTAAAGGTGGGTGGCGGCATTTACGTTGTAGATGTCTATGGGCTCCGGTAACTACTTAACACCAGATGGGCCGTGAGCTCGTCCACCCATCTAAGCAATAAAAAATAAAATTATTGCGCATTAGGTATTCACTTGTGGCTTGTTATCGCATTTGAGATTGAGCACGAATAAAATTTTCAAGATCAATGTGAGGCTGGAAGAGTTTAAGACTGGCATCCCGTTAAAACATGAATTTCCTTTGTTGTTGTCTGCATCTGTGCAAATATTAATGGTTCTCCTTCGAATCGTCTTCATAACTGAAATATTCTCGAAAGTTAATTCAGAGCACAGCCCTCTATGGGTGACTTGTGCTTGAAGACTGGCGTAGGTTGGCCCTCAAAAGTTGGACAAACGACTTGTTGAAGGTCGTGCAAATCTTCTGGTTACGGGCGACACAGGACAAGTCATTATGGCGGAGGACCTTGGCCCATGTTCAGCACTCATGTCCTTTTTTTTCCTACCTATGCTGATAGCCTTGAGAGGCTATTTCAGCTTCGCCTTGACGTGTAGGTGAGCTCACGGGTCATAAACTGGGAATATTGCTAACACTTGCCCTAGCAAGTGCAGTGCTTCGCAGAATCTACCACCGGATCGGAAACTCGACCCACTGAGAAGATCCGGCGAGAAACTCAGTGGGCTGTGTCTATGGGTTCGGCGCGGACGGTGACCGGGCACTGATGTGATGATGTCTATAGGCCGATGGGATTGAGATGGTCTTGATTTTTTACAAAAGTACCGCACTTTTTTACAAAAGAGATCAGGTCTAATAACGTGCGGGTAACGGTATATTGCGGTAGTAATTGTCACAAAAAATGTAGAGCAACAAATCCCACGCATTATGCATATTTCCTTCACGTTCATATCTGTTCTCATATTTGAAGATCCGACAATAATAACAAGAGTCAGTGCCGATAATTGAAGAAAAATATAAGAAAATAATCATCACGTCTCCGTCTCAGCGGTTTCTTCTTGCGCTACCTTTCTCTTTCGGTACGCGGGTGCGCGAAATATGCAAATTAAAATGTATTACATATTTTCAAACATTGTTAGGAAAACCGCGTGCATAAACAACAACATTAAGGTAACCGGAAGACAAACACCAAGTGAATTTTCTAACTCAAAGGAGCAATTTATTATCCTAGCACATAGGTATTATAAATAAAATTAAGGCTAGCAATCAGTTCTTATTACCGTAATAATAAGTTTTAAAATCGATCATTTGCGCTTTAAACGTAACATTGCAAACGCACATTACAAACAGATTTCAATACTGCTGGACATTTTGGTATGTACACACAAAACGACAGCTATTTCTGTTGTTTCATTGTATGCAGCATACATTAGGTTATCCGGTCACAATGTTAGCTCAAAGCGCAAAGACGCTACATAATTAATTATAAGCGTAACTACATTGTCCACATAAATCTCAGTTTCTAATCAAAACTAATGATAAACATTCAATCATCGTAATAGGTGAATTAATTAATTAAACAGTCCATAATCGCGTCGTAAAACAAAGAATCACAAGATTTGAATAATGCACTTTTTATTAGTAGTAAGAGCGTATTGCGAGTACGCGCGAGCGGGTGCCGCAGTCCCTCCTTTTGCTCCGGTTCGAGGGCGGAACTTTGATTCTTCGATTTCATGTTCTGATGTCTACAAGCTTCTGGCTACAAGGTAACCAAGTCGACCATGAGCTCGCCGCATAGTTTAGCGCAATAAAAAAAACACGAAAATAAATTCACAATCGACCCGTTTCAAGGTTTTGTATCGATAATTGAACGGGAACTAATAGGAATTGATCCATGCGACCAGTTTGAGCCGAACGCTTGAAAACTTTTCCATCAGAAAAACAGGTCATAGTAAGGAAAAATAAAAAGGATTATCAAACAAAAAGGATTGCATTCAAAAATAAATCACTAAAAATGTTTTTTTTTTATGTTAAATCGACTAAACGGTGAAACTCGAATTGTATAAAAAACTAAATTTTACCTTTCGTAAGCTAACCACTACGCCTATAAAACTTACTTTATTTACATTTCGTTTTAGGACACCAAATACTAATCGATTTTATTATTAATAACAAATATTCTTGAAATTTGAGTTTAGTCTTTAAACTCAGTTTCCTAAATGCTTTTATTTCGATTTGATCACATACATAACCCCCGAGATCGAAGCCTACAGTGTGCTTAGTGAGAGTTTTTTAACGTTTTCGATAGCGTAAAAGTTAACTCAAATTTGTATGCAAATTTGCCTACGTTTGCCGCTAGGGGCGCTGTTCCGATTGCAAACAATGTGAGCTAACTTTTACGCTATCGAGAACGTTAAAAAACTCACACTAAGCATACAGGTCCGGCCTACTACGAGCCTCTACCTCTTTACATGCAAACATTTACGAACGAAAAAAATATAAAGCAGTTCTCGATATCGGAACCATAACGTCGGATCTACATTTTGCGACATCATCATTATTCGTATTCAATTTTTAATATTGTATTTTTAGTACAACTATTTCAAAAAAATCTATGTTATAATGGTCGCATCAATGAGTGCTACAGTAAATTAGGGCATACATACTTAAGTGTCCGACATTATGCATCTATGTCGAGTTATTTTTAATTAGTGTTAATACCACTTTACGCGGCTAAATTAAATAGGGTCTTAATTCGTACATCTCTATGGGTATCAAGAAGGTCATTTTTTTCAATACAGGCACAAGGCTGCATGCTAATCAGCCACTTGTTGAAATAGTTCTGCAATTGAAATTTGAGTGCAATTTTATAGAACAAATATTTAAAAAAAACTATTCTTATCACGACCATTATTCGATTCGTTCTTACTATTAAGTCAGTACATAAACAAACTTACATAAACATATTTTTTGTACTATGACTTAGGAATATGTGATACAGGGTAATACAATTTTTATTNTGCATGCTAATCAGCCACTTGTTGAAATAGTTCTGCAATTGAAATTTGAGTGCAATTTTATAGAACAAATATTTAAAAAAAACTATTCTTATCACGACCATTATTCGATTCGTTCTTACTATTAAGTCAGTACATAAACAAACTTACATAAACATATTTTTTGTACTATGACTTAGGAATATGTGATACAGGGTAATACCATTTTTATTACTTGCTTAGATGTGTAACTACAATAAAATGACTGAATTAAAACATTTATATATATATATGTCTTTCCCGGCTAATTCATTAGGTGTGAGCACTCAGATTAACGTGCAAATATTGTTAACAGTACTACGAAAAAAAAAGTTTATTATTTTTGTGCAGTAAATAAATCGGCTCGTAAGATACCGAAATTAAATATCAAATTCATAAAAAAATCCAACTCTTTTTAAGCCTCGTGTTCACTTGTAGAAGACAAACAGACCATTAAAAACAAATGTGCCGAAATAAAGTTAAGAATGAATCTTCAAGCTATGCACATCATAATAATATGTGAATGTGTGTACGATGCAACTTTATCACACAAAACTCACACACATCAATACATAATAATAACGCTTCACTTACAAACTACAAAGGCTCTCTGTTTCTAGAAAGCGTTCGAAACCGCCACAGAAATACCGATATAAATAATATATTAGCTAAAAGTATTTGTTTTTTTTTTATGATTATTATTAAATATTTACATGTATAACTTTCAACATTCCAAAAGACAAAAAAATACGCATTACATCTGCTCATTGCATACATAAAAAACGGTGTACATATTTTATGCGTTCAATTAATTTTTAACATTTTCTTTAGACTTTAGGAGACCATTATAATTTCGGACACCTTTATTTTAGATATCGTTTTTTTTTTTACAACCATAAAATTATTCAGGAAACAATGTGTGATTGAATTTAAACAATTTCATTTCCTACCTCAAAATCACCAAGCGAGGCTTCATTCATCAACACGAACCCATTAATAAAACGGCAATTTAAAATATTTGCCTATTAAATCATAGTTTGCTTCTTACATCTTCAAGGTATTAGTTATAATTTAATTCTGTCCAGTACATACAATATGTATATATGTTGATATTTATTGAGAGTTATTATTTTTATCAGTTTAAAAAATTAAATCGTCGAGTTAATAATTCGCTTTAGGTGTTATATAACTAACGTAATGTATTTTGTTCAATTAACGAAATACATAACATTGATTTGTCGTACCGATGTTGTACTGTTTTAAAACAAACATTTTAATTCTAATTCATCAAAACATTTCGAGATCAAAATATTTGTAATAGTTGAGAGACGGGTTCAGTATAATGTGAGCTTATAATTTTTTTGTTTGTTTGTTATAAAACAGTACCGCCATCTATTGAATATTTTAGTGATTTAGTATAACCGAAAGCCACGTTTAGTGAGATTCCGTCGTCGACGTTCGCAGTACATCATCGTGAAGTCATGAAAGCATCCTCAAACTACTGAGGGAAGTCATAACCTAATTCATAACGTGTAATATAATCGTTCTGAGATTTGGCCGAGGCCTTGTTTCATGAGCGATAGCGAGTTTCGTTCGAATCGCTTCAGCTGCATAGGTAACCTCGGCCCAAAGCGTCTATAGGCTACGTTTTCTTACAGACGATTTTACAGTATGCATCCCCTCTATTTACAATGGTTGATTCGAGCTTGAACCTAGAAAAAAATATAAGATATTATAGTGACAAATTGATAAAGCTTGTTTATTTAGGCAAAGAGTATTATTGTAGGGTTAATTTTGACATATAGATTTTAGACAGTTTGGAAAATAGTTTTTTTTTTTCTTTTCCTATCTAAGCTGATTGTCTTGAGAAGACCATTAAAGCGTAACCTTAACTAGAAGGTGAGCTCACGGGGCTCAAACCTGATGTAGTTGCTAACACTGACCCTAGCAAGAGCAGTACTTCGCAGAATCTACCACCGGATCGGAAACGCGACCCACTGAGAAGATCCGGCGAGGAACTCAGTGGGCTGTGTCTGTGGGTTAATTTACTCGCCGAGACCTTCGTCGCAAGCAGGTTCGGCGAGGACGATGACGGGATAATTGGTTAATTACTGCTTCGTTAACTATATTACATTTGGAAGATGAAAATTCAACTTTAGAATTCGAGGTAATAAAGAAGATATGCACACAATAATATGAAGTGAAATGAAGGTAACAAAAGTGTAATTAATAATGGTATTTTTAAAGTGAAACTTTTATTACATCGTCTCAAACTTTTTCGTCTGTGTGTTGCATGTTACGTGACGGTCGGCCGCGGAGTAGGGATAAAGTGAAAGGCGCTCGTCAGCGCAGCCAAGGCCAATATGGCGGCGCCTATAGTTCGCAGCAGCTGACCGTGGAGTGTATAGACTATTACTCATTTGTGCCAGTGCTCCACACTATTTTGTTTATGCTTTTTTTGTCCGTGTTTCATGTAAATGTTGTTTGTCAGAGTTAAATGTCTAGAATGTGAAAAAAGGTTTCACTTTTACCGTGCTTTCATAAAACTACACAATTTTTTTTTTTTTATATATTCTTTTTATTTTATACTCTTTTAAATAATTATATTCTATTCTAGTATGGACAATAACTTACCATTAGCAAGTCTCAATCGAGATTGTCCTGGAATATGAGTCTGACGTATCCGGGCGAGCCCTGCAGCGGTGCGGCGCAGAACGGGCAGATCGCGTGGAAGCCGTTGGTCCCGTGCGGGATGTCCACGTTGGCCCAGTACCTGCCGAGGATACCTTTGCTTAAAACTGACACTGACAGATCGCACCTTTAGAATTACACAGACCCAACTCAAAAAATGTGTTTTTTTAAAATATATAACGAAAACATGTTCTAACCGAAAAGATATAGAAGAAGGGGACGGAGAGAATGAGACAGATGTATATGTTTGCCCCGTTATAAGCTACTTGTGGTGATTTAATTATTAAGTCGCTGAAAAGAGTCGTTCTAGGTAAATTTTTGAATTAAAGTCCAAATCCGAATATTTCGAAATGGGTCTCTATAATTCTAAAGTTGTGATATAGTTGTTGAAATAAAACTTGATTAATTAAATTTACAACAGTTTTCGTTGGAAATTTACTTTAGAAGAATTAGTTGTATTCTCTATATATTTATATGTATAGCGAGGGGTTGAATTTAATTGAAATTTAATTAAAAACATCGACTTGTCGATGCTAATACCAAATAAAACGTACTTTTAATAATTACAAAGATAAGTATAGTGTATTAAGCGAAACGTACTGGTAGTAGGAGCTCTTGTGAGTCCGCGCGGGTAGGTACCATCACCCTGCTTATTTCTGCCGTGAAGCAGTCATGCGTTTCGGTTTGAAAGGCGGGGCAGCCGTTGTAATTATACTGAGACCTTAGAACTTATATCTCAAGGTGAGTGGCGCATTTACATTGTATATGTCTATGGGCTCCAGTAACCATTTAACATCAGGTGGGCCGTGAGCTCGTCCACCCATCTAAGCAATAAAAAAAAAGTTGCTTAAACCACATAGTCTTTCATTCTTCGCTATGTGTAACACTACCATTAACTTTAGACAACAGGTTGTTAGGTTAAACAGTTGCGCACGCACTTGACGGTTCTCTCGGAGGCCATGTGTCCGCACGGGTTGAAGGCGTACGTGGGCGGTCCCGCGTCCACGTAGAAGGCGGGCTCGATGCCCATGCACACGCGCACCACGGGGCCCGCCGTCAGGCACATCGGGCACCGCCGCACCCCAGTCTCGCTGCCCTCGGCACCCCACGAGTGCTCCCCTGCAGACAACCAACAACAACAACTATCACATGCGGGAAACGTACTCGAAGATTAAGCACGCAAACATTGAAAACATGTCATGACCGAGGTCAATGACCTTTTTTTTTTTTCCTACCTAGCTGAGAGCCTTGAGAGGCTATTTCAGCGTATTTTTAACTAGTAGGTGAGCTCACGGGCTCAAACCTGACGACGTTGCTAACACGAACCCTAGTGAGAGCCGTGCTTCGCAGAATCTACCACCGGATCGGAATCGCGACCCACTGAGAAGATCCGGGGCTGTGTCTGAGGGTTAATTTACTCGTCGAGCCCTTCGTCGCAAGCGACGGGTTCGACGAGAACGATGACCGGTGCTGGAGGTACCTAAAAGCACCGTTAGTGGATCGGGAGGATCCGAAATGACGTGTTTGGGGCGACGTCGACTGCTTTCCATTCTGTCCGCAGGATCGGGAATGAATGACATTCGATGTAACTTGCTAATTCATAAAAAAATAACTTATTCAAATACTATGTAACTTTGCCTTTGATTTATATTGGGAAGCAATAGTGTTTTCCGGTTTGAAATCGATACCGAATCGTAAGTATCGATGCAACGGTGTTCGAATCACGTAGGCGGGTAACAATTTTTCTAATGAAATACGTGCTTGAAAAATGTTCACGATTGACTTCCACGGTGAAGGAATAACATCGTGTAATAAAAACCAAACCCGCAAAATTATAATTTGTCGTACTTACTGGTGGTAGGACGTCTTGTGAGTCCGCACGGGTAGGTACCACCACCCGGTCTATTTTTGCCGTGAAGCAGTAATGCGTTTCGGTTTGAAGGGCGGGGCAGCCGTTGTGACTATACTGAGACCTTAGAACTCATATCTCAAGATGAGTGGCGGCTATTACATTGTAGACGTCTATGGGCTCCGATAACCACTTAATATCAGGTAGGCCGTGAGCTCGTCCGCCCATCTTAGCAATAAGTTAGTGACTCAATGTAAAACGTTAATTACATTGTTGTATTTTGGGTTCGGTAATTACTTAAGAGAGGACGTCAATTCGTCTGCTCTAGAAAATTTTCAATAAAACAATATGAAATTGAGTATCGCGACATATTCATGTCATTTGTACAAACACTACATTAATTACTTACAACTAGTTTAATAAAATTCACTATCTTATTATGTAAATAATAGATTTAATATTTCAATATTAATTATACGGCCGCCTGGTGTAGTGGTAAGTGACATGGTCACTACACAAGGGGGTCGCGGGTTCGAATCCCGCCAAGCGAAGATATTTGTATGATAAATATAAATGTCTTTTCCAGGGTTATGGATGTATATTAAATATATGTATGTGTATAATAAAAATCTTACATTTATTTCCGTTATCTGGTACCTGTAACACAAGTTCTTTACGAACTTAGCACGGGACCAGTTAACGTGGCGTGATTGTTAGTAAATATTTAAATATATTAATACTCAAACAGTTGTGACACGAATATCAAAACTTTAAAGATGTATTTATCAATACACTAATTCATAATAGCATTTCGACGTCACCATGTATTGAGCCGGGAAAACTCAAATAGCACAGTTCAAAGGTTGGGTCAATAATAATATTATATTTCCTTATATCTATGTCTATCTGTGTACTTACAAGTTCTTAATTAATGAACATATTAAGTAAATCAGTACAGCGAGACCTATCAAATTTTAATAGTAATATTAAGAGCCAGCAATACCGCTCATAGGATGATGTTCGATTGATCCATTGAATTCCAATTACCCAAATGTCTCGCATCTATAACGAACGTCGTCGTGGCCTAAAGGATAAGACGTCCGGTGCATTCGTATTGAAGCGATGCACCTGTGTTCGAATCCCGCCGGCGGGTATCAATTTTTGTAATGAAATACGTACTTAAGAAATCTTCAGGATTGACTTCCATGGTGAAGGAATAACATCGTGTAATAAAAATCAAACCGGAAAAATTATAATTTGCGTAATTGCTGGTGTCTCGTGAGTCCGCACGGGTAGGTGCCACCACGCCGCCAATTCCTGCCGTGATAGCAGTAATGCGTTATGGTTTGAAGGCTGGGGCAGCCGTTGTAACTATACTAAGACCTTAGAACTTATATCTCAAGGTGGGTGGCGCATTTACGTTGTAGATGTCTATGGGCTCTAGTAACCGCTTAAAAAAACATGTATAGTCGTTATGGAACATATACTAGATTACTTATATTTTCCGTCACCCAATACGAAACGCGCGATGGTGTGGTGCTCAGACGCTCTCATGTTGCGATGACCAACGTAGCGAGATATATACTAGTGCACCGGCCTCACCTTGCACGTGTCCGCAGTTGAGGTACACGTAGGGCTGGTTGAGGTCTTGGTGCGCGGTAGACAGCTTCCGCGGAATGACGAGCGTGTTGAGTCCGACCGGGCACTGAGGCCGGCCGGCGTTCAACTCGTCCACGAGAGCTTCTAAATCGCGTTTTGTCTGTACGTGGAAAAACAAATTTTCAAGGAAGGAAGTCAAGGAAGAGTGTCGATGTTTTTTTTCTAAAGGTAATTTAGTAAATGTACCTTCTACCCAATGTGTCTTTACTGACCTAAAACTATCACTCTGATAAAATCATTTCAATCTTCAGCTTCGTTTCGTCGCGAAAGAAGGACAAACAAACAAACATACTTTTACATTTCTCATATTAAAGTATGGATTATATACATATTTAATACGTACAATAACTATAATAGCCTGAATAATGATTATAATGTTAGAAAAATTGGTTAAATTAAAAATGAAAAAAAAAAGATTAATTTATGATAGAAAAATTAGATAAATGTACCGGTGAATTCTTCAGTCCCTCGGCACTCCTCCACAACAATGTGGCTCCACACAGATCTATCATTGTCCCATCTCTGAGTACATTTGTTTCTGCCTGGCACGGCAAGCCCTAAAAAAATAAATACATAAAAATGACAAATATTTTTATTTAAATACATATTACCTTAATAAAGCGAAATCTGTGCGATTAACTTAAATACTTCTGTATCGCATTACCGGAAAATTCTCGAAGTTCATAATCCAAATGATGTTAATCAATTAGCGCCACCACAATGTAAAATTCTATCACCCAATTACATAAGGTCTAGATTTAAATTGCATCACACATGACTCCCTTCTATCATTCCCATTAGTATTAAAGGTGGGCGTTATGTAGAAAGTAAACAGTCAGGTAATACAGTGCAACCTCAATATAACAAATCGGAAGGGGACAAGTAAATATTCATTATATCAAGTAATTCGGTAAACTCAGGTTTGTTTAAATTAAGGTTACGTTGGTACGTACCATTTGTTATAAACTGGTAAAAAAAAATATTCACCTCAACATTACGTACCTGTTATAGCGAACAACTTCTACTATTAATTGATAACACATTTTAATGAAATTACTTTATGTATTTTCTATTTAAAAACAATTAGGTACGCAACAAATCCTGTCAAACCTGACGCGAGACTGGTTCACATACTATGGCCATGTGCATGGGAACGTTATTTATAGGCTTTGGGTTGACAAAATTCGTTAATTAGAGAGAGGTACTTACACTTTTTGTGATAGTAGAATATTCTTTATAAAGTTATTTGCAAGATATCTTTCCAATGTAAAGATATATTTTACATTGACTCTTATGGACATTTCAAGGGGACAACGAAGAATTTGTTAAATCGAGGACGTCGTTATATTGAGGTTCGTTATATTAAGGTTGCACTGTAATAATGAAGATATGACTGATACCGATGATAGTAGTGACTGAATTTATAGCTGATAAATCTAAAAAGCTTTAATGAGAGCTTCCAAGGAATTTTGTTTACAGAACACCGTTGCGACAGCACCTGACGCAAGACACTCGCGTGAAACTAGATCTTCCCACTGTTATGATAACAGAAATAAAATATTTTCCTCATTATAATTACTTAATCTCAGTTTTATTCAAACATTACATTATATATTTGCTATTGCGCAAACTAGCTTATCTGTTCAGGGTATTTTTCTTATATCTGATCACTCTCTGCTATGACTAATTGTTTTTATAAATTAAACTATAATTAATATACATTAAGATTATGAAAAATAACAATTTCTTGAAATAATTCGCGCGCCCCGTATCTTATAATTGCACCGTGAAGGTTCATCAAAATCCATTTAGTACTTTCTTCAAATTCAAATTCAAACCACCAATTATCCTCGTAATGTTTTGGATTTATAAAATTAGTAGGTAGTAAGTCTCTTAAGGCACACGAAAATACAGGCCGTGACCCGGTTAGTGGTAACCGATTCTCAAACCTTCAGTAATGCCAGGAACAGAGCATAGACGCTGCATAAAGTTTCAGGCATAACATTTTCAATGGTAAACAGGTTTCCTACATTTCACACATTGACTGATTGATTTTTTATTATCTATAAAAACGAACAGTCGATAGAGCAGATCAATAAAAACAAAATTAAAATCTGTTTAGAAATACGGAAGTTATATTAAAAGAGTTTTAATTTCGTGCTAGACAGAGAGCACAATATACTGGATAATGACGTCCCTGATCACATTGACCGCAAAAAGTCTACACCGACACTCTTTCCCTGTATTGTCGCAAAAACGCAATTCAATTATAAACTTGTATTAGGTATTTCACACGTAGTTTTTTTTTATAAGGTACGTTTCCATAAGAAAACTTCGATTGTGTTATCAATAAATTAATCATTATTCCACCCCAAAAACTTGAAACGCCTTATACATGTTTATGTTGTCGTGGCCTAAAGGATAAGACGTCCGGTGCATTCGTGTTGAGCGATGCACCAGTGTCCGAATCCCAGGCGTGTACCAATTTTTGTAATGAAATACGTACTCAACAAATGTACACGATTGACTTCCACGGTGAAGCTAATAACATCGTGTAATAAAAATCAAACCCGCAAAATTCTAATTTGCGTAATTACTGGTCGTAGGACGTCTTCTTGTGAGTCCGCGCGTATAGGTACCACCGCCCTGCCTAATTCTGCCGTGAAGCAGTAATGCGTTTCGGTTTGAAGGGTACGGCAGCCGCTGTAACTATACTTGAGACCTTAGAACTCATAGCTCAAGACGGGTGGCCCATTTACGTTGTAGATGCCTATGGGCTCCAGTAACTACTTAACACCAGGTGGGCTGTGAGCTCGTCCACCCATCTAAGCAATGAAAAAAAACATGTTTTTATACTTTGAACATATTTCATGTCTCGTTCTTATTCTTGATTCCATCTGTTGTCTTCAACACAGCATGAATATAAATCAAATGTATTTAATACCTTTTGTTGTGCTGAGCGACTCTCCCGCAGCGAGAAGACAGCCCCTCCGACGGACGTCTCGCGCCACGGGCCGCAGGTAGCACTGCCGCCGCAGAAGTCGCCGCGGGGGTGCATGATTAGTACACCGTTAGTTGTCAAACCGTCTATTTCGTGATTCTCTGTCCATTTCGTTGCTTTCTCCTGTAATGTATACATATTAAGGTTGATTACCAATGTGTGGTGAGAAAAATCTTCTATAACTGGTCGTCATCATCAGTCCACAGACGTTAACCGCTGGACACAGAACTCCCCCAAGTTTCGCTACCGTGATTGGTCGGTCGTGGTTGCGGAAGGGCTACCCACGATGTCTTTTCTGGTGCGCGGTCGCCACTCGAGAACTTTTCAACCCTCGCAGCCATTTGTTCTTCGACAAAGTGATAAGCTTGCCTTTTATACCTTTGTCATGAGATCTTGCGAGGCTCAGCCGGAAGGGAATTTGCTAACATCCTGCTCTAGTAGTGCTACGCTGAATTTACCAGTTAGTCGGAATCGCGACCCACTCAGAAGGTCTGGCAACTCAGTGGGTTGGTCTTGTTTTTAAGACGCATACAAACCTCCCTAAAAGAGTTCTTATTTTACGTATCCGAGGCGTCGCCAAAGCAAGCCGTAATGAAACTCAGGTTGTATTTATTTTCATTAATCAAAAGAGACATCACTGAGAAACACGCGATTTGTACTTATGTTGCGTCAGTGTGGTCTCAAGGTGAGTAAATCTATATATTTACGCAATAACATAAAAAAGCTCTATTTACGTTCACACTGCCATGCATGCACCCACGAGCTTGCAAAATAAATAATGTATTTCACTTGTTATAGTGTTAGATACAAAAACAATAATTATCTCAACAGTAAAATGTTAATTTTCTTTTAAACTTCACAATCAACCAGCTTTTATACCGAATTATATATTTATAAACGGCTTCCAACGCTCGCACGGTCGCCATTACTTATTCATATTAAATATCCTTTAGCTTAGGGTGTGCCTCAATTTTAAATATTAAATAAAAATAAGAATGCTTTAACGAAATAATTTTACGGAAACCTAAACCTTTTTAGCTTTATATAAATCATATTTGCTTTACCGTTATTGTGTATCAAGTTCGTACTTCAGTATTTGTGGGGCTTGAAAATTGTAAACCCTTTTCAGCAAAAGTTACGTGACGTTGTTACGCGGGGTATTTTCTTAGAAATCGACTATGTACATTAATTAATGTATAGTGAAACAAGCGGCATTGTGTTTGATGGAATATTAATAAACCATGCGAAATAACCCTAATGCCTATAGATTTAGTAAAACTTAGACGCATAATATAATGCGTTTCAGACCGATTAAGAGATTAGATAGACTGTAAAATAATAAAGCATATTGTATTTTAATGTCATTAGAAATAAGATCTAGAATAGAACATCAATAAATAACAAATGCATGTAGACCGAAATAAAACTGGTGGAATAAAAGGCTATCTGTCGCGCACATGGGATCATAATTTGCGTAATTACTGGTGGTAGGACCTCTTGCGAGTCGGCGCGAGTAGGTACCATCATCCTGCCTATATCTGCCGTGAAGCAGTAATCCGTTTTGGTTTGAAGAGCGGGGCAGCGGTTGTAACTATACTGAGACTTTAGAACTGATATCTCAAGGTGGGTGGCGCATTTACGTCGTAGATGTCGTATATATACTGTGTATACTGTGTTACTTATAATATTTTGTATTCAAGTTTAACAATATTTACTATTTGTATGTGCATTACCATAATTATCATGTTGTATTTGTTATTTTAGCTGTTCTAGACACACTCATCACTTTTAATTATTATTCTCATAATCCTCTCGCAAGTCTGCTGGAAGAAATTTCTTACGGAAATAAGCAGCGCCTTTGTACATAATTTTCCTATTACTCTGTACTATGTCTTCTTTTTTGTGTGTACATAAATAAATAAAAATAAATGTCTATGGGCTCCAGTAACCACTTAACACCAGGTGGGCTGTGAGCTCGTCTATCCAACTAAGCTAAAAAAAAAAAACTGAAATTTGAGAATGTATTAACTTACCCCTAGGAAAATATTTCTAGAAGAGTCGAAGCCAGCTGCGTAAATGCGACAGTTGTTTACATCGTTCCTGTCGGCGATAATGCGACACGCGAACCGCGATATCGTGCTCTGAAGGACCTTCGTGTCGCCAGTTTTGTCGCCGGCCACCGTGTCCATCACGACGAAGTCGATCGGGGGCTCCGATGACCTACCGATCTGTGAACATTCAACAAATAAACATTAAGTCGTCGTGGTCTAAAGGATAAGACGTTCCGGTGCATTCGTGTTGAGCGATACACCGGTGTTCGAATCCCGCAGGCGGGTACCAATTTTTCTAATAAAATACGTACTTAACAAACGTTCACGATTGACTTCCACGGTGAAGGAATAACATCGTGTAATAAAAATCAAACCCGCAAAATTATAATTTGCGTAATTACTGGTGGTAGGGCCTCTTGTGAGTCCTCTATGGGCTCTAGTAACCACTCAACACCAGGTGAGCTGTGAGCTTGTCCACCCATCGAAGCAATAAAAAAAAATTTAAACGTGTTTCACATCAACCTGTAACTTTTCTCAACGAAAGAAAGACGACCGGCTTTTCAAGTCACTTCGATATTTGTGCCTATAAAATGTTTAGGTAGCCATTGGTCACACAAGGATCGTCGCTGGTAACTAGTGGAATGTTTATTGATTCTTTCATCCTAGTTTAAAATCATTCTCTGCAAAAGTAATGTTTTTTTATTTATTGCAATTAAGGGTTTAAGGAGCCCCTGTACAAAAATGAAGAACGCTTTTTGTCAGTGCATGCAATGCAACACGATTTAAAGTCAGCTGACGCGTGGTCAATGTTTTCACGTAACCGGCGAGGCCAGCTGTTTCGGACTCTATATGATTCGTGTTTAAAGGCGATTATGGGATGCACGACATACCCGATCTTGTAGACCGAATGGTAAGCAGTCGACGTCGCCCTAAACACGTCATGAATCCTCCCGATCCATTACCGGTGGTACCACAAGCAGCGGTCACCGTCCTCGTCGAACCCGTCGCTTGCGACGAAGGGCTCGACGAATGAATTAACCCATAGACACAGCCCACTGTGTTTCTCGCCGGATCTTCTCAGTGGATCGCGTTTCCGATCCGGTGGTAGATTCTGCGAAGCACTGCTCTCGCTAGGGCCAGTGTTAGCAAAACTCCAAACGGAAAAAAAAACCGGCGAGGCGTCAGCAAGTCTTTGTCTTTGATGGCGGGCCCACGAAATATAAACGATAAAGGGATAAATGTTTTAATACTAAAGTTTTCAACAATATTTTTCGTTTAGGTTGAGCAGTACCTTTATTATTAATACACGTATAACTTTATTAATAGCAAAGACACAAAAGTTGTAATTATCATAGCTGCTCAATTAATGATGGAATCGAAACCTCTCCTGGTACCTACGTTCTTATCTCTTTTAGTACCTACACGTTCTCTGGTTTTCGAATACATACACAAAACAAGCGAGAAAAATAAACGTCCCCAAAAAGGCTTGTCATCGTATCCTTGTTATGTTAAAACGTACACGAGCATAGTTTTGTTAGTAACAACGTGAAATTTTATTTTATACGGGACTTATCGTCTATTTTAGTAGTCGGTATTTCATCCATTAACCTAATTGGAAGTCACGACATGTCGGACGTGAGCTCGAAGGAAGCAAAAAAAAGAGACAGCACCGACGGACAATGAAATACAAGAAAATACAATCAAATTAAATACTTTCCGAAATTCTTGACCTTTTCTTATGTTCAGTTCGAGTATCGTCGACCGGTGGACAAAACATTTCCTTGGTTTTTTATTATTGACTACATTAAACATTATACGTGTCGTAACCGAATCATAGTTTAGTTATTTAGCGTCGCCCATGGACTTCAGCAATGCCAGGGGCAGAGCCAAGCCGCTGCCTACCGTTAAGTACTCTACACAAGCCTCGTTTGAAGAAGTAATATGTCATAGCGCTCGGAAAACACCGTGGAGGGGAGCTCATTCCAAAGCCGGTTGTTACGTGGCAAAAAAGATCTCTGGAAACGCACTGTGGATGAACGTAGTGGCTCCAGGTAGTATGGATGAACTCTACTCCGGCGACGGGCGGTGAGTAAAAACGAGACGACGGTATCATCTCAAGCAATTCCTCAGAGCACTCCCCATAGAAAATACGGTACAAAATACAGAGGGAACCGAAGTCCCTCCGCAGACCCAGAGGTTCCAAACGATCCGTGAGTTTCAAGTTCATTAATGTTATTGGTGTATCAAAAAAAATTAAGTTTACCCGACTACGTTGCCTCGGTCATACTTCGAAGGCAATTCGTTGTCTTAGTATCCTACGCTAACTTAATGTCTGTACATTCCTCACTAATTCCTATCTTGAGTACTGGTAATAGGTTATGAACCCGCGGACAAACTACAATGATGTCCTTCTTAATAAAGTAGAAAAATATCCGTCTAATATAGCCATTAATGTATAAAATAGCGTTTGATCCTTTCATTCAATATTCACTGTTATTGTTCGATGATCACATTGGATTAAGTCATAATAGAATAATACAGTACCGCACATGCATAATTGAATTTGTTTTTGTATTATTAATTCTTACTCTCTTCCACGTCTCCACGAGGATGCCTTCTCGAGTGTCGTCGAGGCGATTCGCCCAGTCCTTGTGGATTGGGTGAATCGTGACAGAGGACGCCTCACTTTCCGGCTCACGCAGGTTCTCACTGGGCATGGTTGCTTCGGTGAGTTCCTGCACCGGATCAGAGCCGAGCCGACGGCAGAGTGCCACCATTGTGATTGCGACTTGGACACGGCAGAGCATACGCTCGTCGCCTGCCCCGCATGGGAGGGGTGGCGCCGTGTCCTCGTCGCAAAAATAGGAAACGACTTGTCGTTGCCGAGTGTTGTGGCATCGATGCTCGGCGACGACGAGTCGTGGAAGGCGATGCTCGACTTCTGCGAGTGCACCATCTCGCAGAAGGAGGCGGCGGGGCGCGTTAGAGACGCACAATCCCGCCGCCGTCGAGCGGGGGCCAGGGAGGCGGATCTCGCCCAAGCCCTGGCCCTCTAAGTGTTTCGGGTCCCCCCTCACATGTCGGTCTGGGGACCGGCGAGGGGGGCCTAAGAAGACGACGTGCAAGCTGCTCTGCACGCGTTTTACGCAAGAGCATCCGGGTGATGGAAGGCCGGCTATCCTCGACCCACGCTGGTTCTGGTCCAGCGGGGTATTCCGTAGGATAGCTCACTCTAACCGGCGCCATCTAGGCGGGCTTCGGATAGCCTGCCGACCGAGAGGGCTGGTGGTCGTGGCGCCGACGACCGCCGGTCCGGCGTCCCGAGGGGGAGGGTGATGGGAGAGATGTGCTCCGCACTAAACACTTCACTTTCCCCCCTTTGCCTTTTCATGAGTTCTGTCTCATGTGAGGTTTGGACGTTGGTTGTTGAGCGACAGGAGGTTTTAGTCGGTTCGACTCCGACATGCTCCGCCCGCCGTCCCCAGTGGAGGGCGGAAGTCCGGCGATTTCCTCCTGACCAAAAAAAAAAAAAAATGCCTTCTCGAGTGTAATTGAATCAACCTGCATTAGCGTGCGCGTGCCAGACTGCTGATGTTTTTAAAGGATTGTAACCGACACTAAAAGGGCCGTAATATTTAAGCTTTAGCGAGTTGGTAGGATCAACATTGCCGTTTTTCTATCTATATATTAATACGTGAAGCAAAAACTTTGTACCCCTTTTTACAAAAATTGCCCAGACGGAGGAGTATGAAGTTTCCCACGCTTATAGAGAATATAAAGAAAGAGTGCAGAAAGCTAATATTTAAAAAAAAAAATGTATTAACAATACGTTAAATCAATATCAAAAACATTACACACAGTCTTTTGTTATTGCACAGTCTGTGGTCGAATAGAAAATAGGTTAATATTTTTTGTATTGTTTATATTTAATATTATTTGTCTATAGTGTAGTCTTGGCAAATTCTGTGATTATAGAACTAGAATAGAATTTGACAATAGAACCTTAATAATGTTCAAACTTATAATTTAAGTCAATTATAGTCGAATTTCGACTACGGCAGGACCACTAGTATCAATAAATTACATACAATACAATATTACTATACTGAGACCTTAGAACTTATATCTCGAGGTGGGTGGCGCATTTACGTTGTAGATGTCTATGGGCTCCAGTAACCACTTAACACCAGGTGGGCTGTGAGCTCGTCCACCCATCTAAGCAATAAATAAAATTACGGACCCAAATCATTTCCGACAAAGTCTACTTATTGAATGAGTTCTGTTTTTGAAAACCAGTCAAACTGTGTTTCGTTCGTATCAATTTCGAATCTAGAAACTGACAGCAGACGGGTGTGAAGGTTGAATTACATCACCGTTCCAGACTCTGCGTTCGCCGCTCTACTTGTCAATAACCACGAACATTTCCGAACCTTCCACAAATCATTTTCGTAATGTAATTAAAAAATAAAGCTTAATGCGCTGAATTCTGAATATAATCGTAAACTTCATCCTGTGTATTTCTGCCGTGAAGCAGTCGTGCGTTCCAGTTAGAAGGACAGACGTTAGTACGAAATCAATTCAAGATTCGACGCCACGTCTCGAGGTTGGTGACGGAGTTTGTGGCGTATGATATATAACACTCTATCAATTAAAAAAAAACACATCAAAATCCGTTGCGTAGTTTTAAAGATTTAAGCATACATAGGGACAGATGTAGGGACAAAGAAAGCGACTTTGTTTTAAGCTATGTAGTTTTATTTTTATTTTTTATTGCTTTGATGCATGGACGAGCTCACAGCCCACCTGGTGTTAAGTGGTTACTGGAGCCCATAGACATCCACAACGTAAATGCGCCACCCACCTTGAGATATAAGTTCTAAGATCTCAGTATAGTTACAACGGCTGCCCTACCCTTCAGACCGAAACGCATTACTGCTTCACAGCAGAAATAGGCAGGGCGGTGGTACCTACAAGCGCGGACTCACAAGAGGTCCTAGCACCAGTGATTAGATGGTATTGTCGATCTATACAGGAAAACGAAAATACATCTAATGTTATTTTAATATTGTTTTGTGAATTCAATAATTTACATTCAGTATCAGGATACATGGCCAAACTAAAATCTCCAAGACTACAAATTAGGTGGTACACGGGAACAATGATGTTCGGACAAACAC